CAGTGTTGTCCATGGCTGGCTGGGGAATTCTGGGAATTGAAGTCCACTCATCTTAAAGTGGGCAAGTTTGGACAACACTGATTTAGAAGCTACCTTGGTCTAGAATGCAGCAGCATGTACAATTTTGGGAGCAGCACAGTATAACTAGGTAATACCAATGCTGCACTGGCCCCAATTCTATTAGCCTTCCTGAAAGCCGTGAAGACCTGGCTCTTCCTGCAGGCGTTGGGGCTGGGATGTCAGAGGTGGGAGCTCTGACATGGGTATATGTGACTGGCAACTATGAAGACTGTATTAGAATTCAACTTATTTTGTTTTTGCTTGGTTTTAATGGAAAGTTTTGTTTTTGCCTTGTTCACTCAGAGTTTCGTTGGAGAGATGGGTGGCCATATAAATTGGAGAAATACATACATAATTTTTTTCTGAATCAGGCCACTGCCTCAGATCAGAAACCAGGGACACTAGTCCAGGCTGGGGTGATGGCTGGAGGCTCAACAGCATGGCTGCCTGCAGCCTTTAGTTCAACCCAAGTCAGTCAAGATGATTGTTCTTTTATTTGCACCATAAATGCCATCCTCTATGAAACCAGGAATGGTATTCTGGGAAATGTTGATGATAGGCTGGGCAACTTTGGAAGGGAGAGTAACATTTATGCTAGAAGACTTCAAAGTTGCATTGATTGCTCTTTCTGGATTCTCCAAATGTAGGCTAGTTTTGTTCTTCTGGAACTTCACCCCCAAACTAGTTTCAACAGAAGAACTAGAACATCATTGTCCCTGCCTTGTATATTCTTGATGCTCAGTATAATTTGGGTGGTTCCAACTTTCTGCTGCGTGCCATAAGTCAGAAGAGGAACTCTGGTGGTTGGTATAAGCTTTCTTTTTCCAAACAATCAGTTCTCTCTTGTCCTGCCATTCCTGCCTGGTTATCGAAAGTGACCTTGCAAAACGTCCACATTTTCGCTTGTTTTCTTAGAGGAATGATTGATAGAAAGCCTACCCTGCCCGTTCCTTCAGTTTCTTATCTGTTATTCCATCTTTGGATACAAGTTTGTTAAAGACCAGAATGCCAATAACCATGTTCACCTGTTGGAAGAGAAACAACAGAGAGTTTTGCTTGGATGCCTCGTCAGGCCAGATGTACCCATAGAATCCTCCGCATCTTCCCTGCGAAGGTCCCCGTCTGCTGGTTCATATCCCCGCTAGCCTAGCACTACTGGAGCAGGCCTCTGAGCACTCAGCCAGGCTTCTCCCAAGGTCAGATGACCTGGAAAGTTTTTGAGCCTCAGCATCTGTTTGTATGGTGAATGTTCGGTGTCTGAGAAAGCGAACCTTGGAGCCCAACCAATTTTTCCCCCCAGGAGTGTTCCAAAGAATACTAATAGGTGGTGGATACACAGGGTGTGCACAGGGGTGGTGTGTCTCTTTGGCTAAGGCAGTGTTGTCCAAACTTGGCCACTTTAAGATGAGTGGACTTCCACTCCCAGAATTCCCCAGCCAGCATG